ACACACACACACACACACACACACACACACACACAAAAAGAAAGGTGAATAAAACACCAACCAGCACACAGGAACATCTCGTCACCTCTAATTAAAATCTGTTGACTCCAGTCCCCGAAATGTGGATTTACTCATAAAACCATAATGTGAAATACACAACATGTTCTACAGCGTTGTTGTTTGGTTAATTATTTATGAAGAGGCAGCGGTATCTTTTCATGTTCTTTAGAGCAGAGGTTCTCAAAATGGGGTCCCTGGACCCCAGGGGTTCACGAGAGGCATCTTGGGGGTCCTCAAACATTTTTACTAAAATGTTAATTTGGTTTTTATTTTTTTAAAATGCATGGAGAACAATGAACTAATAAAACAAACATAATAAACTTAATAAAAATATACATTCCCGTGGCATTTAGGGGTTGAAATGACAATAAATCATCTTTAAAACAGCATGGGGTTTATGAGGGGGTCCCTGGAATTTTTTTCTCCCTTGTAAGGGGTCCCCAGACCCAAATGGTTTGAGAACCCCTGGATACAACCTAAACAATGGTTATGTCAATCCCTGATGGGTTAACAGAACTCCTGGGGATGTTTAGGGCCTTAGAAATCCTTTTGTATCCATCTTTGTACTTGTACCTTTCAATCATATTTTCCCCAACAAACAGGGTATAAGTTAGAGGTAAAAAGACGTAAAAGCTGTGAAAGTTAGAAAAATTGTCATCCTGATGCTTTTTATGCCTAATATTGATTTATTATTTAGTGTTTGAGCTGATAAATTATTATATTTTTCTTTTTGTGTCAGAGTTGTTCATGAAGAGTAAACGTGATCTAGAGTTTTACAAAAAAAAAAAACTATTAAGTAACCAATAAATATGTTTAATAACAGTCAAACAGTAATAGCTCTGTAAAAAAACTTAAAAATGAAGATTGGCAGCAGTTTTATGGTTTCTGAAAGCCAATCACTGAGGCTTAAAATTATATTTTGGGTCAGCTGAACATATTCAGTGTAAACTTTAATGTCCTTGAGGTGCAGTGTTCACTGACAACATGCACATGAACCAGGTTAATGATTGTATCATATTCTAACAGCTCGCTGGTGTTTCATCTGACTTGGATCATACAAGTGAACAGTGTTCTGATGATAAACAAACCAGAAGATTTTCACATCATCTCCAGTGTTTGTTCCCACTGATTGCTTCATCTGTGTTACTTCACAGGACGAACCTCTCTGATTTAATCAACACTGATGCCCTAAAAAACACTCGCACCTCTAAAGAAGGTCACTGAAATGATACAGTTTGTATTAAAAAAAAAACTAGGACAGACTTTAACAGCTTTTAGTCTCACTTCAGTATATAAAATATTAAATTTAACACTTGGAAACTTGGATTCCCTCTTTTGTGTGCGTTTTTATTTATTATTTATTACAATAATCAGCATCACTTGTGTAAATCTGAGGAATAAGTGTTTTGGTTTTGATGCTAATTTAGGATCAGGACTAGATGTGCTGTTTAGGGACCGCGTGGAACAAAAACAGACACACAACACACGTGCTCCTGAGTGGATCAGTTCAACCACAGTTGAATGAATGAATGAATGAATGAATGAATGAATGAATGAATGAATGAATGAATGAATGATGTATAAGCTCTAGTCTCGGTTTCTACATGCTCTAGCAGATGAAACCTTATGGGAGGGGGAAACACACACGGTTTTCTGACATGACAGCGGAAACCCCCCGTGTCTCAGTGGAAACCCAGAAAAAAGTTACCATAACTCAGCCTACGGATGTAATTTCGATACACTGCGAAACTTTAAACTTAGCAATTTATTGTCATTCGGGAGTTTATTTATACAAATATATAACGGTCTGAATTTAAACCTATTATACACACAATAACAAGAGCAGACACACCAAAAATGTTAGCATAAAARCACAACTTGCCAAGAAAAACACCAAAAAAGTAGGATAAAAACATTAAAAATGTAGTACTCACGCTTATTAAAGTGTCCTGTGTGTGAAAACCGCAGAGTCGGTGAGTTTTCCCTCTTCTTGTCACGCCCGTTGTCCGCTCTGATGCCTTGTTAAAGTTATTATGGTCGGAACTCAGGAGGCACATGTTGCTTCCTTGTTCTGTGTGGCTGCCGCAACGAGACGTAAAGATTACCGTCAGCGTGACTCACTTCCGTTACTCAGCTCCGTGAGCAAGCGCTGACTGGCTCCGCTCACAGACCGACGTCCCGCCCTGCCCAAATATGGGCATGGCYGTTGAACAGCTGAGTGCGGGAATTTCACTGTCTGCCGACCACAAAAGCCTATTCTACACTTCTGTGATGAAACATGAAGTAATACATCACTGTGGTCGTCTTTCTAATAATAAAAACTCTGCTTTCTGTAGACTGTGCGTGTCTGACGTGCTGTCCATTGTTGTTGATAATGATACAGCCTTTCTGTTCTACTTCTTTCAAGGTCGCCTTGGTATCCTGTTATCATCAATCCTTATTAATTATCAACAAGATGACTAAATTGTAGTGATGGGAACAAAAATAAATTACAATGAAGCAATTGTAAAAATTTTTTAATGATATATATATATA